CTCGCCTTCCAGGTTGGGGTCCGAAAGACTCCACAACTGGTTGGTTGGAGACACTGAAGGATATGGCAGCGAACCGGCAGCAGTGGCGTTCTTGTTGTCGTTTCTTATCAGGTCAGAATGCTTGAAATGGTATGTATGGAGAGTTCGATTGTGTACTCTTTGTGTTGACCATAGTGGCTCATCTTCTCCGTCCCTCGAAATAGATCCAACCCCTGTCCAACTCAAATTTCAGGACTAACCTTGTATGCATTGTGAGTTTGGCAGCTATCAGTGAAGTTCGCTTCACTGTATTTCGCTGTACGATGATGATGATGACTGAACAGCAGGTCCTCGTGACTATGGGGTTCGCCCCGTCTGCAGTTCATCACACGAAAGTATGTAATAAAAAATCCTTCAAACTGTTAGTTGTAGCATCCTGGTCTCCCAGGTTGTGTTACCAAAGATGGAGAAAATCTGTATCTCGAAACATTAACCAACACCGCCAGAAACCATTGTGACTGGTCTACCTTTTACGAGATGCCTATTTGTTGACGCATATTCAAACTTTTTCGTCGTCGTGGCGCGTTCTCCAATTTGAATTAATTTGTCCTAGGTCACATAGGCCCCGTTAGACTCCCTGGCTGGGGACCTTGGGATGATGGTCGCCGATGGTTAGATACAATGAGTGATATGGCTGGATGTCGCAAACAGTGAATCTCGTGCATCCACTCATTATTCCCCTAACACCATTTTATACAAATTCTCCATCTTCTGCTTGACTTTGCTTTCAGCATTCCAATCATCTTTCTACTCTTTTATCCAAATTGGGCACCTAAAAACAGCAACCAAAACCGGCACACGAAAATGCGTGGTTAATGTTTGTGAAAACTGAAACTGAATTGTTTGGAACAAAAGCTGCTAAAACTTCAAGTCTTTGAGTACTCTGTACTGCTTGCTGATGATGCGACCTATCCGGCCCAGATTCGAACTGTTCACCACCATTACCACCACCAGTTTGAACCGTGTTCAATCACATGCTCGATCAGTGCTTGCCCCAACGAGAGCTAATTTTATTCCCGGTTTTTTCCCCCGCAGTTCATGACATCGGCAAAACGGACTTATGCAGTGATTCGTGCTGTATACGACAATCACCATTCGACCGATGATTTTGAACGTGAATTGGACTTTGTTCTCACTCGCAAAGTGGGCATGGTTATTATCGAGCCGGAAACCCTGGGCGAGTTGACATGGCGATGGATCCGTACCGGGAACTGGTTGCATAAAACAGCCGTGATATGCGGTAATTGAACTGATTTCCGTACTGTCTGTCAGTCTTTGATTCACCTCTCCACATGTTATTATGTAATCTCCTTTAAATAGGCTTTGCTTCGCTTTTCATCCATGCTTTATTTACCAAGTCTGTCTATTTAGAATGTATATCAACCAGACGGTGTTAAATACCTAGTCGACTGATTGTGGTCGCGTGGTGACTCCTCTATCGTCAAGTTAGTGCACTATCAGTGAGGTTGAAAAAGTCATTGGACGGGATCTGACTACCTCTGTCGCTTTACTTGAGGTGATCTAAATGCGAAGTCACCTAAATGTCAGCTGCAGACTATCCCCCCACCTTCATTTTTCTCTCTCCTGAGGTTGGTATTTCTAATTTACGTTTTTTTTGTTGATGTCCTTCTGTGTTCTTTGATCGGCAGAACCAGTAAAGACTAACGATGAAGAAAATTCGATATAAATAAATAACTTTCCAACTACCACGCTCGCATCGGTTGATCGCTTGTCGACTGGCCACGGTAGTGATAATGTCTGGACGAAACGCTTCTGATTGCATATTGGGGGGGGGGGTTCAAACAGTTTAATCGCAGTAGCTTCAGCCGTGCATAGAAGGATGAACAGTACGGTTTTAGATGATAACGGTGGAATGCGATAACCGGTTCTGAAGGCTCGACTTACGTCATTTTAGTGATCACTTTCTAGTAGGTGTTGGCATATCGCGCTTCTCACTGTCCTCGTTTCTCCGTATGCATGTGCATGAGGCTTGAAATTTGTTAATCTTCACCGTGGTTTCTTGATGCCATTTGGTATTGATCAGCTCTTGGATAGTGTGAACAATGAATTGGCGGTGATCGAGGTTCGAACTCTGTTTCTATCACTCCAGTTTGGTGTGGAACAGTCCCGACTATCTCCGGGGTCATTTTTTTGTGTACTGCACAGCTGACTGTAATGAACACTACGAGGGGTTCTCTTCTTGTGCTAGGTGCTACAGACTCAAAAAAAAATTGGATAAACGGAATGCCAGTGTCCGCTAATGAATGACAGTTTCTGTAGGGATGCTTCAGATGAACATGACACGTTATTTTGATTATGTGAAATTGCTTCATGGAATTTCTCTTAGACTTTGGCCTTCTCCCGTTCGGTAGAATGAATATCTGAAGTAATACGGTAGCGGAGGAAAGCGTTGTTCATTGCGGTTTACACTGTTATGAAGTAAATTGACCACCTATGCTTTTGTACAACTTCAAGGAAAATTAACGGAAGCATAGTAAATTTAAACAGGAGGAATGGTATTTTACAGAAGTGAAAACAAATTATCATGGGTTGGGAGTCAGAAGTTGATAAAGATAGAAGTCGCGGTTTGCTTTGTATAATCCCTTTCTCTGGTCTCGCACAGGTGTGCAAAGCAGATCAGGGTCTAATATTCTTCAGTAGATAGGTGGTCCATGATTTGCTCGAGGGCCAAGTACTGTCAATCGATCCGAGTCCAAGCCGCTAACTAAAGATCACCAGGATTCTGGCATTGGAGACCGGTAGGCATCAATATAAACGGTTCCATCTGGGGGTAGTGAAATACAAATTTGGTTATTGGTTTACGATTTTGAGCAGCATGTCGGATTATGCAATCGGTTTGCATTCGGTTCCAAAACGCAAGATCACAGAATGCATTCGAACAATTGCTATTTTTTTCTTCATTGTCTATGATTAGCATCTAATGTAACAGAATAAGACTCATTGGTCCCTGTTTCGCGCAACACCCGTTTTATTGACTTCGGTATACAGGAATTCCCGTTCACTCTCATTGTGCTGACTGGTTGACGCATCTTAGTCTGATAGGGCACACACCGTAACTCAGAGGGCGTTGTCTTGTTTGTGTGCCAAATACAGAATCGCGGTTGCAATCGAGTCAGTCCAACGAGTTCTAGTGGAGTTTTGATGTGCAAATGACAACATATACGCAACCCGTGCACAGCACCTGGCTTCACGATCCGCAGCGTCACAATCGAAAAGAGAGTCACATGAAACTCGTTCTCGGCGATCCCGACGTGAATCGATTCTGTGATCAAAGGGGTTCGCGCTTTCTGTGCACTCCAGTTGTCAGTTGCGCTTATTCACCTGGTGTTTCATTGTTTCTAATTGCATATGACCTTTTTCCTCATTCTCAATGGTGACTACTTTTGCCATTAATGATAATCGTATTAATATTATTGTGAATACCGCGGACACTTTCAGTATCCTAATAACAGATCGATACTGCAGTAAGGGATATCTGTGAGAATGGTACTTTTTCTCGGGGTCCCGCTCTGAGGCAGTACCCAAAATTTGCAATGCATCATCGATGGTTTTTCATCCTCTGTGCTGCACGGTGCATGATGCTGAGTACATTTGATCGTTGATAAAATAAAGAAACTGGAACCACTGCACATCGGTTTCAGCTCAGTTTCGTATACAACAATCTTCAAGTAGGTCGCAGCTTTAGATTGTAGGCGATAATTACGGGTTTCGAACCCAAACGAACCATCGGACAATGTGCTGTCAACAACGCGCATTAACTGACCCCATCCGGAACCTTACAGACGGCACAAATCCGATTAGGCGAATCCGTTCTGTCTTCATCTGACCCATCTTTGAAACTTTACCAGGAGGGTATGATAGCCGGGGATTATTTTTCTCATTCCGTAATGAATTTTTCTCCCTATCAAACATTATCATGTAAATTGTACTGCTAGTCACTGCATGAATCACCAGAAACGAACTTGTTCTCTTACGATATGTGATATTGGTAGATGCGGCTAATTATGATCGTGTCAATGTTAGTACTAGCTTGCACTTTCTTTTTCTATTGGCTNACGTCACTGTTGTGTAAAGCACAGCAGTAAAGGAATTTTTCACGCGTTTAAAGTTTTGTTGTACACAGGAAACTTTCACGGGAAAAAATCGATATCAAGTCACTCGTAGTCCATTTGTCCAGTCGTACCACTTAGTCTGCTTGTTCAGAATGTCCGGTGTAGATAATGTTTAGTCTTCCAATGAACAAACCATAATCACCTAACCGAATTCGACCNGATCGACCCACTTGTTCCTTGTCATTTTAAACGAGAACCACGTCGCACTGTGAAGCCAATCAGTAAACATTTACCCACAATTGCTTCGGCGAGCCTATTGGTAAAACAATAACCACCGGGGGAGTTGGAGGGGCTTGTTATCTCAGCTCCTTTTTCAACCCAAATAAGTGCCAACAACTCACGTAAGTTTGACGAGACTGAGAAACAGAAGAATATCCTGAGTGTTTGTTTGATCCTGTGCCCATCGATTTTCGCGTCAGATCAATCGAATATATCAATCAAGTTTGGGTGTTCCCAGTTCACATATTCTTCAATCTATTCTTTGCACTGCCAGGTATGTCCGCTTTAGCCACGGCTGGACTCGGCCTCACATGGAATTCCTTGGTCGTCAAGTCGTCTCATTTGCTTCCCATCAGTTTAGATTCCCATTGGTGGTTGTCCAGTGTCAAAACAGAGGCGGTGCTTTTCGATTTCACTCCGCGTCTTCTCCGAATGAGTTTGACTGTGCTGAGTGGAATCAGTGCAACCGCTGCCGGATTCTACGCCCTGTTCTGGCAGTGGGATCCATGTTGTAAATATCAAGTGGCCTCCTCACTGGCCGCACTCCCACGCGGTGTAACCTCGATTGTTCACGCGAACGGTCACACGCCACGGGAAGCTACCGGTTCCTCATCCTCACCCACATGGCCCAATCCACGTACCAGTCCGAACGGTGGATCCAGTACAGCGAGTAACGGTGCGATTCGCTCGCGGCCCGTGATTGTTGAGAACTGGGCAGCCGGATCTGGCGGTCCACCACTGCGCCCCGTGGTCCTCGTGCATCGAGATGACGGGCGACGCAAACTGTTGCACAACACTGTGGCCCTTATGTCCACTCTGGTGACTGGTTATGTGCTCTACCAGTGGTCTCGATCGACCATATCATGATCCCTGTGTGTGTGCGCAGCGTGCCGCGTGCACGCACGAAAACTGTTTTATCTTCACATCGTCCCAGTTCATCTTCATCTGCGTGTCTTTGTCACCTACGCCAGTCTTCAGTTTCGTAGTGTTCATTCCTACGTTCGTTCGAATCACGTGGCTCTTTTATTAGCGTGTTCCCCTTACAGTTCTTATTGTTGCTAGTAGCCTAGATCGAACTTGAGTCGTCTAGACGACCACGCGCATTTGCAACTGTGCCATCACGAAACCGAAACGGACGCTTCCATGGTGTCCAGGCCAAGGCATTTCCGGCCGTTTAGTGGACGTGGAGATACGCA